GATGATCAGGAAACAATACTAGTGTTAAAGACGGCATTTAAAATGAATAGGAAAAACATTGACTTAAAGCTTTTCAAATATCTTTGCTGGCACGTTTGATCAGTGAAATGTGTCCTCCATGATTAGAAGTATTGATTTCTTTGGTTCAGAAATATGCCAACATGAAGTCTTTTGCGCAGATTTACTCCACTCACCGCTCTGCTTTCCATCATCTTCCTCCTGATCGTCAACCACATCTTGAAGTAGTCTGAGTTAAGAGCAAATATCTCCACAGAATGCATTAACACAACATGTTAAAACGTATAATCTAATATCTAAATAGTAGGTATATGGCTTAAATAAAACCAAATTAACAGGTCCATTTCTTAACCTAGGAATGGCCTCAAGTATAATTTGGTTGGTTTTGACCATATTTGTGCGGCTCATGAATATTAATGAGGTGTGCTTTCTTGCTCATGTCAGTTCTGATTTTAATTAATTGTGAGAAGATAATAGTAATGGGCGATAAAGATCTCCACACCAACAGAACAGATCAGCTCAGCCAAAAAGAGTTTACAATATCTGCAAAAACATACAATATTCTCAACCCAGGCTCATTCTGAAAGCGTAGTCCCGTGGATCTTTCTGGAGACCGCGAAATACGGGAGGTATGTATTTTTGCAGATTTTGTCTCTGCATGAACAATTTAGAAAAGCAACAATTTAGAAAAGCCGTCTAGAAAAAGAAAAGCCCTTGACTGATTATTTACCACGTTTTCGGATTTCACCGCGTTCTCACCCTGTTGTTCACTCATTCAATTTATTCTTTTGAATTCTGTTTTTGTCTTACCTGATTTCTTGAACCGATCTTCCCCGAACTCGAACCCGGTCGCCGTGGTCAACTCCTCTCTGCATCTGAAGTCTGCCGACGTACACGATGAGCTGACTGGACAAACTGGAAAGCCCTCCACACGGAGGTTAGCGGTCAGCCAGTAAGCGCGAAGGGGAACAGCGTCATACTGCCCAGTAGCCAGGGCCGGCGCGTCCATAGAGACGACCTAGGCGACCGCCTAGGGCGGCAGAATAGAGAGGGCGGCATCCGAGCACCTCCCGCACCACCCGCGACCGCTGTTATACCCGCGCCTAGGGCGACAGAGAGGGCGGCATCCGAACACCTCCCGTACCACCCGCGACCGCAGTTATACCCGCGCCTAGGGCGGCAGAATAGGGTTCTTCACTTTGATAACCGGTCATTTTCGTTTTCACTTTCGGTTTGAGGGCAGCGTGATCGTCCTTTGCCTAGAGCGGCAGTTCAGCTTGCTCCGGCCCTGCCAGTAGCGTTCGCTTAAAAAAATGAAATGCAGCCATACGTACCTCCCGGGACGTATTTCACGGTCTCCAGAAACGTCCCCGGGACTACGTTTTCAGAATGAGCCTTTGTTGAATATTGTGCATCTCAACTTTACAGACATGGACAAAATTATTGGTATTTAAGAAAGAAAAACTAGATATCACTGAAATAACTTGAAACTGAAGTATTAACCCTCTGGGGTCGAAGACTGCGTATATGCGTTTTGACTTGTGGTGTCGTCAAACTGCTGAAATGAACTTAAATTACCCTTTCAGTTTCGATCGTACAGATAAGATCAATACATCAATCGAATCTGTTATGAAAACAAACAGTGTAGGCATTCTGTCTTTTCTCTCTCCGTGAACTGCTTTTAGAAACGCGTCAGTAAAATGCGCTAAAACTCCGTGAATACAAAACACACACAGATGAGAGATGTATTTCTAGAAAGCTTAAAGTGTCTACTTTTTTAAACGCAGCTATGCATGTTGAAAACAAACATAGCTTGATAAAGTTATCAGTATGAAACCAACGCTAGGTCTAGTTTCTCAGTCTGATCTCATTAGATTTAATGCGACCACGCCCACGAGGCATTGATATTACAAGCTTATGCATTAGACGCGTGCAGCCTGTGGTCAGAAAAACTCACTAAAATTAAAGGAAACTCTGCAAATAGTCAAAAAAAATGATGATTTATGACATCTATGTAAAGCTTGATGGCTATTTTTGCATTAACTGATTCAAGTCGAAAACAAATGATCTCTTTTTATGTAACCCGTATAAAAGTAAGGACTGGTACAGATTCTCCTATATCGCCTCATTACATTTTTAAATTTATGAAAATAAACTAAACAAAATCCAAAATTTCTTTCGAATTGTGGTTTAATTTGAGGATTAAAAAAAGGAAACTAGACCTGGACAAAATCCAAGAGTAGAAACATTTTTTTTTCTTCTGTATTTAACAAGCTCCAACTAAAAAGAAAAAAATCCTTTCAAGTATTTGATTTATATATATATATATATATATATATATATATATATATATATATATATATATATATACATAAATATATACATAAATATATATATATATATACATATACACACAGATGAAGTCAGAATTATTCGCTCCCCTGTTTATTTTTTTTCCCTAATTTCTGTTTAACAGATATTT